AATAGACCCCCAAAACTCACACACACAAATATCAAAAGAAAAATACAAGGATGTTCTCATTATTTTTGGAAATTATAAAAACCTGGAAACAGCCCAAATGCCCATTAATGATAAGACAGGTAAATATTGGGCAAATTGTGCAGCAATAAAAATGATGAGTGCATTCCCATCAGACGACTGACTCCCAATACCTAATGCTGAGTGAAAAATAAAGCAGTCACAGAAACATGCAGATGTATTAGTCCACATATACAAAAGTCACAAAGAGCCCAACAAAGTGATGTGTACTTTAGGATCCCTAAGTCCCAGCACAGCCAGGGACCAGACAGCACACAATCAAGCCAGTGGCTAAGTACCCTTGGCACAGGAGGAAGTGGTCAGAGTGGAGCTCATAAGACTCCTTCATGGTTCCACAACTGATTTTGGGTTTTGGATATCTATTCCTTTACTGTTTTTTTAATTTGGCAGATGCATTGCAATTTTCCTTTTTTAAAGAATAATTTCCTTTTTTAATAATAATTAGCACACCGAGGGCCTTGTGCAGAGCACTGAGGGTTTTCTTCTGCAGAATCCCAACTCCCAGCCTATCCCAGACCTACAAGCTGGACCAGAGGCCAAGATGAATTGATCACACTCTGGAGATGCTTTAAACAAAAGAGGCCTTGAACCCTGGCTTCCAACCCCAGCCCTTGCAACTTTAGCCAAGTTCCTCCAGCCCTCAGTGTCTGTAAGATGAGTGCCTGGCAAAATATATGGTGCATGGTAGGGACTCAGTGAATATCTCATGAATGAATGAATGAGTCAGTGATATCTAAGAGCCCATCACAACTGCAACCCACACCCAAATTTATTCACTGAGGGAAGCTGTGGCTACAGCTACTAGCACCCACCCCAACACACAAACACACACACACACACACACACACACACGCAAATATCCCAGCATTTGAAGTAGAAACAGAAAGTTTTCTGTTCTGTTTGATCCAAATTTTTGATATTTTAATGTTACAGATTTTCTATCCCAAATGCCAGTTTCTCTCTTATTTTTCTTTTTGCTGTCACAACAAGCATACAGGCATTTTCCATGGAATTTTACCAAGTAGCGTGTCCCATATTTTGTAAACCATATGCATGCAAACTGCTCTCTCACCCTGCATTAGTTGGCTTTCCACCACTGGAATGAAATACCTGTAGCAGTTAACTTATAACAGGAAAGGTTTTTTTCAGCTCACAGTTCTGGAGGTTTGGGTCCAAAATCAGTTCGCCTCATGGCTTTGAGCCTCTGGCAAGGGTGGTACATTATGGTGGGAGTGCAGACTGTGTGTTTACATCACAAGTCAGGAAGTGGAAAGTCCCAGAGACTGAGGTCCCAGGACCCCCCTCAGGGCCATGATCACCAATGACATCAGGACCTCCCACCAGGCGCCCCCTCTCAAAGGCCCCAGCATCTGACCATAGCACCACCCTGGGGCCTGGACCTTTGGAGGACATTTGATATCCAAACCACAGCATATCTGTTATGGTCTAGATCTACAAAATGCCACACACACAGCCTCATGTGCTTGGGAGGTAACTGGATTATCTGGGCTTACAGCCGACTTGCTGTGGAGAGGTGGGGTCTGGTTGGAAGTGGGTCATTGGGGGTGTGGCCTGCAAGGGTTTACCTCCCTCCTCAGCTCTGTCCTGCTCTCTCTGCATCCTGTGCACGAGGAGGTGAGCAGCTCTCCCCTGCCATGCCCCTCTGCCTGCCACACTGTTCTGCCTTGGAGCTGGCCAATGACATCTGCAACATGAGCCCAAATAAACCTCTCCTCCCTTAAATGTCGGTGTTGGGAATTGCACCCCAGTGATGGGGAAAATGACAAGCACCCCCCTGCCAAATTCTGTCTGGGGGCCCGTGCCTTTCCCTGCTTTGGTCTCTGACTCTTGTTTGCCTGGTTTCAGATTTTCTGAGACATGGTCTCACTATGTAGCCGAAGCTGGCCCCAAACCCATGATCCTCTTGCCTGCTGTTCTCAAATGCCTAGTCCCAGGTTCCACTCAGGAAAGACCCTCCTGGGTTTAAAGGGAGGCACGTGAGGTGGAATCAAGCCTCACCCCACTAAGGGGGGACCCTGTGTGTGACATTCACTGAAGTGACTGACCGTTAGTCCAGGCCATGACGAGCCCATTCTAAGCCACCCTCCCTCCTCCTTGTTATCAGTTCTCCTGACTGAGGACAAAGAAGGAAGCTGCAGTTTAGCAATCCCAAAATTCTAGAAATAGGATGGTGCTTTGGGAAGTGCATGAGTCTTATAAAGTCAAAGAGAACCTCTCTGAGCCTCATTTCTTTCATTTGTAAAATGCAGCAATCATCCAACCTCAGAGGTCTTTGGGTGGCTTAAATGAAATGATACATATGAAGATACTTACAGATCAGTACCAAGAAAAGTCACTCTACCTCTAAACCACTTCTGTTTGACTCTGCAAGGAATAAAACAGTCTTCACACTCAATTTGCTTTTTAATTGGGCTCATCTGCAGGCAGTGATGCTGGGATGGGGCTGCAGGGGCCCTGGGGAGCCCACAGGCACTGTTTGTCTTGCACTGTGACTCCACCCACAGTGTTGTGATGGTGATCTATCCAAAGGGACATAGGCTTCAGCAGCCTTGACTCGTCTCACACACGGCACTTTGGACAATAGGCCAGAGCTGGGATGGGTGTGAAGGGAACAGCCAGTACAAGCAGCAAGTGCTGGGATGGTTAAAATCTTTCAGTGAATGTTTAGGGCAGAACATAGCCTCAAAGACTATCGATGCAGCAGACCAGTAACCAGGGTTGGCAAAGGCAGGAGGTCCAGCTCAGACCACAATACAAGGGCTCTGTCCTCAACCAAAGCCAAGTGGTCAGAACCCTGGATAGCTCCAGTGATGTCTACCAGGCCCTGTCATCAATTTCCCGTTCTGTATGCTGTGCCTATGGGACCCACTCACCTCCACCCTCCAGATCAAAACCAGCAAGTATGGCAGGTTGCAGCCAGTGCCTCCCCTGCACCATGGAAGCTCACAAGGCAATCACAGCAATTTCTGGGCACCCAGGAACACTTCAAACAAGGATGAAAGCTACCAGGCTGCCAGAATCTTACCCTCATCTTTCTCCTCATCTCTCTTTTGTCTTCCAGGAGAACTGTTTGGAAACTTATGCCCTTGTCTGTGAGTTTGCTCATTCACCTGGAGACCGGTCCTTGAAAGGGCCCCAGACATGGTGCCATGGTAGTGAGAAACACATGCCTGCTGTCCTCAAGCTGACCACAAGACACCAGATCTGTAGGACAGGCAGGGGTCAGGATACCTCCCCTTAGGGACTTGCTCCCTGAGCAGAGTGCACATAAGGGGGCAATGAAAAGAAAAGAGAGTTTGGGCAAGTGCTGTCAGGCGTCACACAGTCTGCAGGAATTAGAGGAGCCCAAACAGGGCCAGCAGGCTGCAGAGTTGGGTCCCTGCCAGCCCTGGGGACAACCATACCTGGAGGCCAGGGCAGAAGGGCAGCCACCACACCCAGGAAAGCAGGATAGGAAGGGCCACACACACAGAACCATAGGGGACCCCAGCCTGCAGTGTCCACACGGCCCACCGGGCACAGCCTAGAGCACACTGCAGTTCTCCAGGGAAGGGCTGTCCCCTCAAATGCCCTACGTCACCTCAGGGTTGTCACAAGGTCCCCAAATCTTCTGCAAGGACATGGGTGGGAGAAAGAAGCCAGCTCCTGGACAGAGTCCAATGGAGTGCCCAGAACCTCGGGCCACCCTTGTCCCGGGCACTACCTCATCTTTATTTCAGCACAGTCACTGTTTGCTCTTTCAATTCTTCCTGAAAGGCTCCAAACAGCATATTTGTTCAAGAGCGGAGGACAGCATCTCAGTCTCAGGGAAGCAGAGTATTTAGGCAAATGCAAACATATGCTGATTTCTTTTTTTAGTTACATTCTTGGCAAAGGAATTATTTTACCAGGAGACAAAACGGGACTTCTAAGGGTTCACCCCCTTCCATCCTGGCCCTCGCAAAGAGGCTGCCAGCCCTCGCCACTCCCCTCAGCCTTGAACACACATGGGTGGCCGTGGCTACCAAGGGGTAGCCCAGGGACCCCAGCAGAGAACCTATCATTGCGACTGGGGGTCACACGCATCTACACATGTGTGAAACTGCACAGACATAAAACCACATATGCAGAGTGCATGTGAATAGGTGAAGGAGGAACGAACTACAGGCTGGGCCCACATCAAACCCCATGGTGACCCCATACTAGCCTTACACATGGTATCACCCTTGGGGAACTGGTAAAGGGTGCACAGGTGTCCTGGGTGGTTTCTCATAACTGCACGTGAATCTCCATAATCTCCATACTTTTTAAAAGCAAAATGTGGAAACCATTTTCTCTCAAGACAGACTAGCTGTTTATACAGAGCAACCACAAGCAAACCATGAAGCCATGTGCCCAAAGCCCATTTCTGTGGTTTCCTAATGAGCAAAGTATGATTGTTTTTCCCCCCACAGGACAGGACTTCAAAGAAGCCACCTCCAGTGAGGCACAGCACTCCGAGGCTCAGCACCCGGCTGGCCCTGTGGCACTCAGGGCATCCCAGCCCTGGCCCCATTGCCCAGCCAGGCCACCGGCCAGCACAAAGGGCATCTTCAGAGAAGAAGCCACTAGGAAGCCTAGGCCAACGGCTCCACAGCTGCCTGCTTGCAGCCCTTCGAATCCCTGCCAGCAGTTGATTAATATTTTATTGAAAACTCTAAGATGATTCAAACTTCAGCTGTCATAAGGTGCTGTTGCTAGGCAACTTTAGTGCCCATCTAAGGATCTGTTTTTCAGTTCTTCCTGATTCACGAGGCTCAAGGCTGGCCCTCCTGCCAGACCCCACTTAGTTTGGGCCTCCAAACACTGATCCTGGGCCAGTACAGGTAAAGCCACGGGTCTCGGAGCCCTCTGCACCCGAGCCCAGAGTAGCCCACACTCACCATACTCGCTGTCGTAGAACATCACGAACTTCTGCCAGCGCAGCTCTGTCACCAGCCTGAGCATGACATCGTTGAGGCGGACGGGAGGTCTCGAAGCCAGTGTGTAGGCCTCGCCGTCAGGGCTGGGGTTCAGGTGGCAGGCGGTGCGCGGGGAGCCCCCAGGGTTGCGCTGCACAAAGAGGTGTGGGATATGCATGGCGTCCGTGAGGGACTGCAGGGCATTGGCCGACGCACAGCCCGTGGATGTGACCAAGGCCAAGATTCCCTGGGTCATGAGGTCACAGGCTGGAAAGAGAGGAGAGACAGCAAGGGGTCAGCACAGCAGCACAAGGCAGGCTTTGGTGCACACGGCCCGCACCTGGCAGCTCACGCATGGGGTTCCCAAAAGATGCTGCCTCCCCCCAGGGACCAAGAACCCACCCTGAGCCAGGCCAGTAGCTCATACAGAGAACCCAGCAGACAAGCCAGCCATTCTTTCACCCATTGTCGGATGAGGAAAGGGAGGCTGGAGGGGCAAGATCACGTGCTGCAGGTGACTCAAAGGATGCCAGAGCAGGGATCCCTCCAAATCTGCCTGATTCAGCCAACAGTGCTCTCAGTGAACCAGCCTACGTGGGCCAGGCACCAAAAAGAGCCAGGAAGTCACAGCATGGGTCTATGCATCCCCATATCCAGGTCACGGGCCAACAGTACCCTGTGCTCTGACTGGAACCTATGGAGACTGAAAGCACCAAACGACATGGAGAAGTCAGGGAGACCCATACTTACCCAGAGAACCCGGGTTGCAGGCAAAAACTTAAAATAAAAAAGGCAGAAACCTAGGTCTTCTGGCCAAGCCTCAGGTCCCCAGGATGCTCAAAGTCAGCAGACACAACAGAGGAAAACAAGTCGGAAATCCAGCGCTTACCACAGCATGAGGCCAAGGGACGCGTGACAGCACCAGCCATCCCTTTTGGGGCTGATGCAAGTCACCCCAAAGCCTCAAGGGCCGCCCTCTCGACCACACACGTGCCTTCTGGGGACAACAGCAGCAACTCCCCACTCCACACCCCACGCCAGTTTTGAAGCAAACATTTCTCATGAACGCGTTGTGTGGCGGCAGGAATGTGGGAAGGCAGCTGCAGGCTCTAAACGCAGGCTGTGGGTGGCAGGGGCCATCTGCCTCTGCAGCAGCACGGAACAACTCGGACAAGCAGTTCTTTGGGCCTGAGCACCTGGGTTTACATAATGCCTTGGACAGGCTCGGGGAAGACAAAGGAACCCACCCAAGGAGAAGCAGGGATGCTGGGGAAGCGGTGGGGAGGGGACCTGCCAGAGCATTCCAGGTGATGAGTCAAGGAAGGGGTCCCAGCTCACCCCTTAGCCTCCATTGCCAGGGTCTGCAGGTGGCTAAGCAAGGGCTCATGAGGTCTCTTGGGAATCCTGCAGCCTCCCAGGTGCTCTGGCCCCTCCTACCCAGGCATCACAGATGCACCATGTATGCTTAGAGCCTGAGGCTCACAGCTCCTGAGAGCACAGACAGGGTCCCCCTGGGTTGCCCACGCCTGTGGCCTCAAGTTCCCCATGACAGCTCTGTCTGCTAGACTCCAACCAACCACCTACCTACGTGGGCCTCGATCTCACCTCTCCAACCTCCATGCTCACCCTTGCTTCTGGGCTTGGTCTTTACTTCCCTAGAAAGATTTACCGCAGCTCCCAGGTCCCCACATTCCCTGCATGGCACACACACAGCCTGCACTGCTCAAGCTCCAGGGCTCAAGGGCCTGTCCTGTTCACACCCTTCCCCAACAAACCAGTACCCAGCACATGGCAGTCATTAAAGATGCATTCAAGGCACCATGAACCTGGCTGTTCTATGCCCCTGACCAACAGCTCCTCTCTGAACACCTGCCCAAGCCACAGGAACAGCACTGCATCCAAAACCATGCAGGTGACACCACTAAGGACCTGAAAGATGCAAATAAACACTGAATGATGGTGACAGAGCTCCACTGGTGGCGAGCTCGTGCAGCCCTCAGAGCCACTCATGGAGGCCCCACAATTCCGCAGGAAAGTGCCTGTCATAAAAAGGTATGCGCAAATAATACAAAATTGTATGCATTTTATGACATCAATTAAATAAAACTCAACACCCATGAAAGACAGGCAAGAAGGGAACAATGCAAAATGTGAAAAGCAACTGCAATTTAGAAGAAGTCTAGAAGTGGTTTTCCTTCCCTTTATACTTTGCCAAGATTTCATGACATGAACAGGTAATTCCTTTCGGAAAGGAAAAGAGGCCGCAGATGACCCTGGCAGGTGAGCTCTGGAGGTGCAGAAAGGCACCAGGTGACACTCTCCTCCCCGCCTGGTGCTTTCTGCAGGTGCAGTGAAGGGCTTCTCAAGAGCTCCAAGCAGAGAAAAGGCCAGGGCCTCTGCTTCCAGACAGTGACCCATGAGGTCACACAACCATCAAGGGACAGCACCAGACAGAGCTGCTGCCAGCCTCCTCCCACGATGCCCCAGCCGTGGGATGCACTTGCAAGGGGTGAGCCGGTGGGAACACCGGGACACACAGACGATCGGCTCGCACTGATTACAGCCAGCCAGGAAGAGCACTTATGAAAAGGCAAGAAAAGCCACTAAAAGCCAAGGCACTGTGATGATGAATGGATTGTTCTTTCTTCTTTTGTACACAGCCTCTTTAATGCTAAGATGCGGCATGTATAATCTTTAAAAGCAATCTTATAAAATAAACCGAACATTGCCCGGGTGTAAATGGCCAGAAACTGCAGCCCTTAGCGGGAGGGGCTGAGGACGCCAGGTCACAAGGCTACAGGGCTGTCTCTGCAGCTGGCAGTCCCTCCCCACGCTCTCATCACCACCCGCTCCCTCCCCTTCCCCACTCCACAGTGCGGGCCCTGAAGCCATAGAACCTCTGTGGGCCTCAGTTTGGCCTTCTAGTACACCTGCCAGGGCACACTGTGTGTTCTGTAGACACAGCACACCCAGCACACACACAAGTCCCTGCCTCGAGCACCAGGACCCACCCAGGGGACGGACCCCACAATCTGTGCCAGGGAAGAAGGGGCACCCTGGAGTGTCAGAGGAGAGTGCACTCTGTGTGGCCGGCATGGGAGCCCTGAAGGAAGGCCTCAGCACAGCAGAGGGGGAAGGGGTGCAGCGTGATGAAAGCCCAGAGTTAGGCAACTGCTGGCTCACGAAAGGTAACAGGAAGAGAATCAGAACATCAAGGACCCAAGTTCCAACTCTGATTTTTTCCCCTGTTGTTTGAGAAGGCCCTGCTCTGTAGCCCAGGATAGCCTTGAACTTGTGGCAATCCTTCTGCCTCAGCCTCCTGTGTGCTTAGATAATGGGCATGCACCAGCACACCTGGCTCCAGTTTTGCTCTTGCAGTCAACAGTCAGCATGTGGCCATAGATATCTCATCTCTGAGCCTCTGTGTTCTACCAACAGGGATAAAAACTTCCACCCAGCAGAGGCATGGCACACTCACTAAACATGTGCATGGTACCTGCCCAAGCCAGGCTGGGCACAGTGACACCAAGCAGACCCATTTCTATCCCCTCCTCAGGACTCCCTATCTCCCCCTCAACATCCCCACCATGCCATGCCAGGCTGTGAGCAGGATTCACTGCTGCCCTCCCGTGGACATGGGTGCATCCGACCCTCCCCTGGCTCGGCCACCTGCAGCGCCACAGCCACTCGGCTGCCTCCTCCTCGACAGGGTGGGCAGTTAGGCTGGAAGTCTCTCTGGAAGTGCTAATGGAGACTCCCAAGGCAAGTCAATTTTCAATCCACTGTGAATGGCCCGCTAATTGGGGCACTGTTGAAATGATGATTATTTGGAGGCTTCTAACATAAAAATAATAAGATCAAAATACACCAGATCAAAGCCAAGTCAGCTATTAGCTTAATCAAGGTTGTGTGAGACAGGAGGGTACACAACTCCTTGTGTCAAGAGGTCTGAGTCCAGGCCCCTCTGGCACACTGGGCTGGGGCAAAGGCCTCTCTGGCTTCCACTCTTTCTCTTTCTCTTTCTTTCTCCCCTCCCTCCTTTCTCTTTCCCTCTTTCTCTCTCTCTCCCTCTCCTTCTCCTTCTCTATCTCCCTCTCTCTTTCCCTCCCTCCCTGGTCAAACAAGCCAATGGCCTAATGGCCCGGGGCAACCATAGTTCCAGTTTGAGCTCCAGGAAAGCTCTGTGCACGGACAGCTGCACAGGCAGCAGGAGCTCGGGCCAGGGCTGTCCAGCCTGGGGCTCAGACGCACTTCTGCAGCTCTGTGGGTGAGAACAGCTTTTGTTATCCTTCCCTGCCTCCCATATTACACGGTCACGAAGCTGGTTTCTCTCCCAATCGCAGAGCAGGCTTGGTGGACGGAGGGGATTCACTGGCACCCACAGGGGAAACAAGGCCACAGAGAGGATTTGTCCTGAGCGGCTCAAGCCCCTGCCCCAGCTCTGGTCCCAGACAGCAGAAGTCTCCACAATGGTCTGCAAGTCAGTTAGCAGCATCCCGGGAGAGGGGAGGAGAGAGGAGATGAGAGCAGAAGGGAGGGGAGGGGAGGGGAGGAGAAGCAGGGAGGGAAGGAGAGAGGCTGCTCACATGCCAGGGATGGGCAGTGAGGAAGCCAGGGCTCTGCCCGCCTCCAGATACACACCTACAGCCAAGGTGCTGAGACCAAGGAGCAGCAGGACATGTCTGCTGCGGTTCCCACCACTCAGCAGCACAAGCTGGAGAACTCACCAAAGTGAGCTTTTTCAGATCCCCTGGTGAGAAAACACACACAGAGAGAGGGCAGTGCCCACGGCACACAGCCAGAGAGCATCAGGACCAGGCCACCAGGCCCCTGCAGAGCCAGCGAAGGGAAGAGAGGGAGACAGGAGCTGGGACCACAGCTGGCCTGACACAACCCTTCCTGATGGAAATTCCCAGGGTGGGGCCAGCTCAGCCTCCCGGGGAAGGAGGGACAAGGACAGAAAGGACTGGCCCTTGCCCAAGCCAGTGGGTCCCTGCCTTCAGGTGGGTGCTGGAGTTAAGACAGATGCCCCACTCCTGTGGTCCTCCAGAGAATTCCCAGGTCAAGGCTGGGGACACAACTGCCCCAGAAAGCTTATGCCAGAGGACACCACCATCTGGACCCGTACCTGACAAGGATGCTGGTCACATCTGCTGGCCCTCCCCTCTGCCCCGGATATGAAGACCCTGACCTGGAAAAACAAGGTCCTCCATGCAAGAGAGGCAGAGTTGGAAACACCTAGAATTCCAGCACTGGCAGGGAGGCTG